ATGTAGTGTGTCACGTCTGTCGTTGTGTCCCGTCTAGGAGACGGAGCAGCTGCTCTTCTCCCCCGTGTCCCCGTTCTCCTTCTGCCTCATGGTGTTGAGGATGGTGTCGAAGATCTCCTTCACCGACTGTCGACGGAACAACGACAAACACCAGCTTAGTTCTACGACACAGTTGTACGCCACTTGCACCACAAACATATATCATATTATAGTTTGTTTTAGTAATGTTATACGGCACTTGCAACACAAATATAGCTCATATTATAACTACCCAAAATTACCACAGGTGTTACTAGAGAGAAACAAACAAAGAAAAGGAGACGAGATAAGAAAGATAAATGGTTTTTTTTAGTTTAGTTTTAGTAGAGCTTTTACGGCGCTCGCAAGTGCATACGGTCATTAGAGCGGGTACTCTTCTTTCTGCTAGGATATTGCATCCCTTTCAGCCCAGGTTGCCCCTCACATGCAAGGTAGAAGCGGCCCACTTTTTAAGTGATGTAAGTGATCTAAACTGTATCGAAGGTGGAGTATAATACCTGAAAAGAAAAGAGAACCCCCCCCCCCCCCCCAAAAAAAAAGGGGTTGGGTTTTTTTTTTTCAGAAGAAAATTTTTTTTCTCCAGTTCTCAGAAATGGGGACACCTGTGGCCTTCACGCGTAAACAAATAAATAAATAAACATGTAAACTAACAAGTAAATAAACAAACATGCTAACAAATAAACAAATCAATCAATAAACAAACAAATAAATCAATCAATCGATCGATCAATCAATCCGAAGAGTCAGCGACTTACCGAGTTTTCTTTGGCGGAAGCTTCCAGAAAGGGAACTTTCCAGGACTCGGCCAGTTTGCGGCCGTCCTCCACAGAGATGACCCTGGGAAGGAAAAGGACGAGACATGAGCCACGGACCATAAGGACACTATGAGGGGGGACCAAATTGGTCCAACAATGACAAATTCTACAGTTCAAGAACACCCACATCAAATACCAACATCCCCAACCCCCACACTTATTTTATGAAGAGTTTTACGGCACTTGCAACACAATAAGGTCATATAAGTGCCGAAGATTACAGGTGTTAGAAGAGAGTAACAAACACAAAAAAGAACGAGGAGAGATAAAGACGATAGATGTTTGAGATAGGCAAGAGGGAACAAACCACAGCAGAGCACCCGCCAACCACCCATGTGTTCATTCAGCAAAGCGTTACACTTTGCATAAAACATGGTGAAATAGGTGGTCTTGAATAACCTAGCTTCGTTTTCTTCTTGTAACAGCTAACTTTTGGGGGTTTTGACGTCACACCTTTTTCCCACTTGCTTCACAGACGCATAAAAAGAAGCCTCAGCAATTTATCTAATTATAATAATGATATGATAATAATAGTGATAGTAATTATAATAGTGATAGTAATAGTAATAATCATAATCATAATAATGATAATAATAATCATAATACCTTAATGATATGATAATAATAGTAATAGTAATAATAGGTATAATAATAGTAATAGTAATAATAGGTATAATAATAGTAATAGTAATAATAGCTATAATAATAGTAATAGTAATAATAGGTATAATAATAGTAATAGTAATAATAGCTATAATAATAGTAATAGTAATAATAGCTATAATAATAGTAATAGTAATAATAGCTATAATAATAGTAATAGTAGTAATAATAATTATATCAAGTTTAAGCCCTGTGCGCTTTAACATGGTATGATGTGGCTTACAAGTCCTTTGTAATACAAACTATGGATGATATAAATCACTGTAACATGGTATGATATGGCTTACAAGTCCTTTGTAATACAGACAAACTATGGATGATATAAATCACTGAACAACTATCTTTGTAAAGTGAAAAATTGTCAAATTAAAGAGACTTTAAAACGGCCCTAGCCACACAGTGGGGTTATCCAAGAAGCCAGACCTAACGATGTAATACTCATGATCTACAACGGGACTGAGGTCAAGACGGGAACTTCGTGGAAAAAAGACTTTTCCAAATTGAAATACACAACAACCAACTGAACAGAGCCTCCAACCCCCGACTCACAACCTCACCATTACAACTACTCTTTAGTTTAGTTTCAGTAAGAGTTTTACGGCACTTGCAACAAAATAAGGTCATATAAGTGCCGAAAATTAGAGGTGTTACAAGAGAGTTAAAAAAAACAAAAAAAGAAGGAGAGATAAGGACGACAGATGTTTGATAGGAAAGAAAGAGCAAACCCTACCAGAGCATCCGCCAACCACCCACTACAAGTCCTCTGTAACACTGACAAACTATGGTACATTTCTCCACAGTCCCGTTTAACATTGAACAAATTATGGCATGACAAATGGTCGCTTTTATACACAAGGGGGCTATCCCGAAAAATGCTGTTTTGAGAAAATCAAAGGTAAAGTTTTTGTCCCTTGTTCAGTTTCTTTAAAAGACAAAGGAGAGTTTTCTCTATAACCAAACATATATGCACACCAATGAAACCAAACTTCTATAGGTAGGGCAATGCCCACTTTTGGTGTAGGTCCAGATTTCTTGAAACCCCCGAAACCTGGGTTAGAATGCTTGTCCTTAAAAGCGACCATATTACAGTACATAATATATCTTGACAGTTTGCACTGAAAAATGACGGTATATTTCTCTACATTCCCAGTTAACATTGAACAAGTTATGGTTTGACATATATAGTACATATATATTGACAGTCAGAACAGAAAAAACTATGGCATTATTTCTCAAACTGTCCTGTTTGACACAGAAAAACTATGGTCTGACATCAATAGTACATGTACGTCGACAATCAGCACTGAAAATCTTATCTGTGCACCACATTCCGTTCACACAATCATCACGTAGATGTTAGATCAATAGATAACTGTTGGGAACTGGGTTATCTTACAACATGGGGAGGAAAGTTAATGAACAAAACAGGTCAACAACTTTTATTTAATTTGACAGTTCAAATGTGTGTGTGTGTGTGTGTGCGTGCGAGTGTGTGTGTTTGTTTGTGTATGCGAGTGTATGTGTGTGTATCAGCAATAGTCAATGTCCTCTCACTCACAGGGGGATGAGCAGCAGGGTTGGTGATTTTTTTATTTTTAAAATAAAAATTTTTTTAATCGATTTTTAAAATTTAAATCAGATTTTTAAAAATTAAAATCGGATTTTTTTTATTTTTACAAAAATGTTGAAACAGTTTGGGATTTTTGGTGGCTAAAAGTATGTTCTTTTAGTGCAAAATGCATTGTCTTTATTTTAACTAATGATTAATTTAAGCAACTGCAATTTTAGAAAGCCTTAATCTGCTATATCCGTGAATTATGGCTACAGACAAAAAATGAAGAAAATGTCAGTCTAAAAGGAAGGGGGGGGGGAGGGGGGGTAATTATGCATAGATAAACTTGCATTTTATTACAGTGGGTGTGTCTGTGTGTGTGTGTGCGCGCGCTTGTGTTTGTCTAAAAAGAAAAAGAAAATGCTAATTTCAATTATGAAAAAAAAGTAAATTGAATACTGTATTATTTTACTACTTACAGTGACAGGGGGGGAAGCAGACTTTTAAGCATTATTATTTTAGTCTACTAAACCTTATATCTGTTTTATAAAACCAAGGAAAGGAATTCTGAATGTTTAAATGTGTAAAAACTGAATACATTTTTTTGAAAAGTGATTTACATTTTTTTAATGAAGGAATTTTTGAATGTTGAAATATGTAAAAACTGAATAAAAACAATAAATTTAAAAAAGTGATTTAAATCACAGATTTTTATTTAAAAAATCAAGTTGATTTAAATTTTAAAAAATCAACTGATTTAAATCAACCCAACCCTGATGAGCAGTGTGAGGATTGAGTTATTATGGTGTGTTGTGTCTGTCAAATGTGTAGAATTTATATAGGTACTGGAGTGAGCATGTGTGTATGTACATGTGTGTGTCTGTACGTGTACATGTGTGTGTCTGTGCATTAGGGGGGGGGGGGGGGGGGGGGTGCAGATGTACCCACACTCAAGCAATGTACATTCTGTGACCATTTTGGCCCTGATTCATCACACAAATGTTTCATGTCCCAGCGTTATCTATTAGGTTTAAAAAAAAACACATCAAAGTAGTTCTCGTTCACTCCCACTCAAACATCAGATTTTCCCTCCCAAAGCCGTATCTTTTTTCAACTAGTGTACCAGACAACTGGCAATAAATCCCCATCAAACACTCTCAAAACAATAAACAGACAAAAAAAGTTGGACAACGAAACATAATTTGCATTCTCTTGTATCATTTCAAAATGTTCTAGTTGGGAATTGTACAATAGTACTTTGAACCAAAAAAAAGTACCCAACAAAAGAAAAAAAAAAAGAAGGAGAAAAATAAGAAGGACAGATGTTCAATAGAAAAGAAGGAGCAGACCACATGAGAGCAGCCGCCAACCCCCCACCGCATGGGTGTCAGAGAAGAGAATGGTGGGTGAAGTTTGTTGTGACAATGTTCCCATAACAAAAGGTAACAACAACAAATACCAAAAACATTATCACATTTCCCACAAAGACTTCATCAAGGGCTGTTTCACCCTAGCGGATTTAGTCTTCGTGAGTTTTACAGCATTTACAACACAAATTGGCCATATATATGCCAAAGACCAAAGACCTCGGAGGTCTAACTAGAAAGTAACATACAAAAAGAATGGAGGAGAGATAAGGACGGTAGATGTTTGATACGAAAGAAGGAGTCAACAACATCAAGTCAAGGCATCCACCAACCACCCGTCAGGCTGATTGAGCCAGGCATTGTTTCACTGCGGGTGTGCACAGCCTCTAATTTGTTACCACAACACATGAACAGGCCACCCACCCAGGCTGATTGAGCCAGGTGTCGTCTCACTGCAGGTGTGCACAGCCTGTAATTTGTTACCACAACACATGAACAGACCACCCAGAGCACAAGACGAGCAAAGCCTCGCACTGGGGCCATAGTCAAAGCATGCACCAAAACTTGCTGAACTCACTGCTAGCAATCCCCAAAACATCCATTTAACACTGCATTCTGATATAATTTTTTAACTTTACCGTTCCCCCCTACGGTAAATTTATCATTAAGTTCGAATCAGACATGTAATCTAAAAATAACTTTTTGATAAAAAATTTACTTTTGACAAATATAAAAAGCTTTTGAGTAGATAGGCGTAAGTGACTACTTCCACATAAAATAAATCTTTTCATAAATGCAAGGAGCATGTTTTTAACCAAGTTTCAAAGACAAAAGCTTTAATCAATATATTCTGCTACATGTTCTAATTTTTTTTAGATTTAAAAAAAAAGGAACAACTAATATCTGAAAAATATCCCACACTTCAGGCAAATGTGTCACATGATCCCACACTTCAGGCAAATGTGTCACATGATCCCACACTTCAGGCAAATGTGTCACATGATCCCACACTTCAGGCAAATGTGTCACATGATCCTTCAGGAAGTGTACAAAAGCGTACATGAGTGTCGCTTCCATCTACCATCAACAATGTGTTTCTTTCTCCATTGTTCCGTCATTGCAGGACGATCGTCGTCCAACATCTATCGCGTGTCTTTATCATCGCATGTCTTTATCACGAGAAGACACGCTGGTACATGCTTTGACTAAAAGGGAAGACAAAACAGAGTCAACTTCTGTTCTCCTGCCCATTTATGTTACCAAGAGATACAAAGTTACCATAGAAACGGGAAGCAAATTCATTACCGTGGATATTGGTGAGGAGGTGTATTTAGATAGTCAAAATTGTCATATGAACTGTAGTTAAGGAAAGATTAAAAACATGAAAATTATTATTTGAGCAGCAACTTCAACCAGACAGAAAAGAGGAACACACAAGCAATAAAATGAACCAACAGAACAAATCAAAAAAACAACTTGTGCTATCACATTGCAACAGAAAAATAACTCCTCTAACGGAAAGGCTTTAAAAACATGTTTTTTTTCTCAACTTTTTGGTGTGAAACAAACATTATCATTACAATCCTAGCAGTTCCCCCCTGCATGTCAAGATTGTCTTATCAACAATGGCTATTCCTTGGCAAACCAAATCTGTGATTGATTGATTGATTGATTGAGTAGAAATTTTACCGCATTATCAACACAATTTTGGTCAGGTGAAAGCCAAAACAGATTTCTTAGCATCAGTCTGTTTAACTATTGATTAGAAAGACGGACAAACATTGATCAAATCCTTAGCAAATAAGGCAAAAACTTTACTAACTTACAATTTTATAGCAGTTAGCACATTTTGAAATTTTCTATTTTTGAAAAAGTGAGAATCATTTTAGAGTCAATTATGTCAAAAAGAGTTTTGATACTGTTACTTTATAAAATATAAAATACTTTACAAATAGTTAACATAATATAACCAAAACCACACCACTACAGACAGATAAGATTGTAACTTCAAACCAAGCACCAAGCAAATTAATTTTTAAAAACTTCAAAGGTGCCACCAATTCTGCAACAAAACACCGCGAGCAAAAAACCTCAAAATTCCCGTCTTCTTTGTTTCTGGCTACAACACATTAGTCCTGCTCCGCACCCACTCATTCTCCCTGTCAACTTTTGTCGGAAACTGCTCAACCAGAATCTTCTTCCTTTTTCTGTTTTCTCCTTTGTGCAATTAAGCCCCCATGCTTAGAGTGTAGCAGATTCTGTACCTCAATAAACTCATAAATTGGCAAAAAGGGGGCACCTCTGATATATAATATACAAAAATACATATACAGTGGAACTCAGATCCGGCCCTGATCTTCAATATAGTTGAATCTCAGTGTTCGTTATAGCAAACACGAGGTTTTTGTAGAAATAATTATGGGCACCGAACAAGTAATGTTTACTGTATTCGACTTCATCAGTTAAAAGTAGTTTGTTTTCAAATGAGAGAGAGGCATTTTCGTTTCTTTGACGCCATACTGAAGAAATGCTGGAAAATTCTAGGAATATAAGCTGAACTCTACCAAGCACACACAGTGCGAAAGGCCCGATTTGTTCAAATGCATGCCTGTGTCAACTATCACCTAGAACGTATTGTTTGCTGAACAAGCTGTGTAACTGTGTATAGCCTCGTATACGGCAACGTTTGATTCCACAGACCAAAGCGTGATTCATTGCTTTGTTCTATCATATATGTGAAGACAAGCTTGTCATTGTAATATTCATCAGTAGCCGGAGGGGATGGGGGGATGACCGAGTACCATGATACGTTTGTATGACTGAGTACCGTGATACGTTTGTATGACCGAGTACCGTGATACGTTTGTATGACTGAGTACCGTGATATGTTTGTATGACTGAGTACCATGATACGTTTGTATGACTGAGTACCGTGATATGTTTGTATGACTGAGTACCATGATATGTTTGTATGACTGAGTACCGTGATATGTTTGTATGACTGAGTACCGTGATATGTTTGTATGACTGAGTACCATGATACGTTTGTATCTCTACCACCTGCTTAACTGAGTTGCTAAGCCAATACTGGTCCACAAAGCAGATGCCATGAATGGTTTCCAGGAATAGACAAAGTTTGTTGCTGGAGAAAACTGAGCAAAGCCACATCAGAATAAGCTGCTCACTCAGCGAACAACTTCGCTGAATCCCAGCTTGATCATTTAGGTGTTTGCTGAAACCGGGATTTTAAAAACTGATCTTAATGAATACTTTTTAAAAAAACGGGTAATCCTGCTCCCTTCCTTAAATCCGAGTTCCACTGTGCATGCAGAAAGAGAGAAAGAAGAAACCTTCCCATACACAAAGTGAGTTGGAAAAAAAATAAAGAGCACAGCAAGCAAACTGGAAACATGAGCATGCCAAAGGAGGATACATTGTCATTTTACCATCATGCAAAGTTTCATAGTTACCTCTCACACCCCAACAAAAAGGCCCACAAATCTGCCCATATCTTTGAGCAATAACTCACGTAGGGAAACCCTCCCATAGATCATCTTACCTTTCGAATCGTAAGTCTTTCTTGTTGCCCACCAACACAATCGGCACGCTGGGAAGAAAGAAAAATGGACACCATTACACAGATGCAGCATTCAGGCAATAGAACAAACCAAATAACCTCACAGAAATGAACATTTTACCAGACAGCAGCTTTGTTCAAAGTGTTTCTCACGCCTCTTCGAGGGCGTTCCGTTAGCTCAGTAGGCATCATGCTGGGCCAAGGAGCGGATGGCACTATTTCGAATCCTAGACGGGATCCAGCAATCTTGAACTCGGGTCGTTTTTGTGGAGTTTCCAAAGCTCTCACACCACATGGCTTTGTCCTGTCGCAGACAAAGGTTACATTCCGAGGTGCCTCCTTTTAAATAAGCCGATAGAGTTGATAAAGGGCATCTGTTTGTTTGAGCAGGTGTTTTCCGACACTATGGACTCAGTTTTGGTAAGACAAAGGGTGTGAATCACATACACTTACTTGTACTCCTCTTCCAGGAATAAGCCCAAAGACTGGAGGTGCAAATACAGCAGCTGCACCATGTTGAAAGAGGAGGGGGGGAGGTCATTAAACCAAACCATGTCTGTAAACACAGAACAGCTTTATAACTAATTCTTTTTTCCCCCCACTCTCCGGCAAAGAACAAAAAGAAATCAGAAAATGGAATACGTACGTCATTTTCCCTTTCATATCCACGATCTTGTCATAGACATGTTTGACCACCTCGAAGCTGGAAAAAAACAGAACAAACATTTGGGTAAATCAGTCGTAGAACAAAATATTTTGGCATCGTGGTGAAATCAAGCACTCACCAAAATAGTGAAATGAAAGTTACGTTTTTCTAACCGTTGGCCAATTTTAAAAAAAAAGGGGGGG